AAGTGGCTGATATTACCAACATAACAGACATGTATTCCAACGTAATAGAAAAAAGCGAAACTCAAACATACGTAACTCACTAAATTTGAAAATAACGAATATTTTCTGATCACACCTCGTATGTATAAGTACAACCGTACTATGAAATATGTTCTGACACTTTACATGCTGATTTATGTGCTGCCCACATACGCTGAGTGCAAATAGTTGTATATAACCGAATACGTAGTTGTGAATATGTACAATACATTTGTTATTGCTCACCAATGGCTACGTAAGGCTGCGTCCGTACAAATAAAATTCCACTCACTTAACCGAAACGAGACAGGCAAGTGACAAATGAACGTCAACGAGGCAGTGTAAGACTGGTCTCCAGCGACCTCGCTTCCTAGCTATGCCTGAGTTTTGTCCTCATCTGCTTGGTACACAAGCGATGATCCTACCGCAGAAGTAGACACTTTACTCAGTAAATCTCTATACCACCGCCCCTCGTTTTCTTTTTTTTCTAAACACAAAGTTGGATGAGCTATGCAGTTACTGTGCACTGTTCCGTGGTAGGCCATTAAGTTAACTATGAATTGTAGTGTTACAGTATTCGATAGCAGTAAAATATTGGTGCAAAATCTTATTAGAAAAACATCATTTATATGGTTGCGAGAGCTTCGAATGTGGGTTTCCTGACTTTTAATAAAATTATCTGCGATCTGAGAACTTTATCGACAAGTTCAGGCCCAGCTTCCTTCGGTCTGACACGTATCAGAACCCAAGTTCGGGATGTTCGAGTGGAGTTTTATCAATACCTTTCTCTCGTTATATGAAATGATTCATACTCATACCACATTATTTCCAGAGACAAAACTAAAACCTTTGCATATCTTAGATCTAATGTTGTTGACAAAGGCAAAGTTAGTCCAAAATATAATATCGAAAGTTAGAGATAAACAAAATAGTTAACTCAAACTGCTTAAGGCAGATACAATTAGCTATTGCATTTTCGGGAAAAAAATCACTGTGTCAATTTTTTCTTTAAATCGTTACTTAGGTATATACTGCCTGCCAAATTTCCTCCTTCAGCTTGCCTATGTGACAGATAGCAAAATTGCTAAAGCCTTTCTATAGTTAACATCTTGGCCATGTCGCAATAATTCTTACATGTACTCGATTAGCATCTACATATACTACTCCTCTTGGCGCTGCGGTTAAATAAAAGTACAATTGACCTCCCCTCACCTCTTTACCATTGTGATATTCGCCTGTGGAGCCGCCGTACACGCTTAAACTAATGATAAGGTTTTAAAACGATTAAATAGTGGACAGCTAGAATTACAATTACAGCACTTATCCATTTACACACAATCGAGCGGATTTGCTTTGTCGTTGTAGCTTTCAAATTAATTAGATACTTAGTTTTTACAAGTGAAAATGTACGATTGACACTTAGTAAATTGGCAGTAGTAAATATTATAACATTGTATTAACAATAATTGCATGTACGATGGGATTAAGAAAGCTCGTTAAATTGAACAGAAAAAAATAAATACTATTTTTTTCCAAATCTTTGTCATTTTTTATTTTCTCTACATAATCGCCATAGATTTCAGTGCATTTTTTAAGCCCATATATCCTCTTCTGAAAGCAGTCTTCAAAAGCTTGCTTACTAAGCTTATCAAGTTCAGCTTTAACCGCATTAATTATCTTCAAGATTCGTCACCAGTAGCGACTTCTGAAAGTGGACTGACCATTTTCGAATTCGTTTAGGAAAAATTGAGCAAAATGCACTCGTGCTTTTCTCTGGGCCTCATATAAAATTCGTGGTACCAACCGAGCAGATTTCTTCGTGTATCCCAGATAAATACTTAAAATTCGCCATACAGTTATGGAATTCAAGCCCAAAATTTGTTAATAACCTTGCATGATTTTGCAAAAAATATTGACGAATTCAACAAATGTTGAAAATTAGAACAAAAGCATGGTGCAGACTTGCTGACAACTCCTTTACCTGTTGAACACGCTGGGGCACTTAACTTGGTGGTAAAGCTTTCGTATTAAAAGATTTGATTAGGACATCGGATTTACTCTTATAGGACCCAGAAATCTGCTCAGAATGCCTCCTTAATATCGCATATAAGATCCTCTCGAATGTATTGTGTGAAAGACTAAAGGCAAGCGTCAAAAGTGCTTTAGACCACTTAAATCCACTATTGACCACATATTCCCTATGCTTCAAATCTTGGAAAGCACCTGAAAAGGCATTCAGTACTCCCGTAATATTCTGCTTCTACTGCCGCTATGTCTGAATTCGACGGAATGCATATTCGACTTTGTAAACTATTTCTCCAAGTGTATTTCTAATATGAATCAGCTGTTCGAAGGTGATTTAGCAGAAACTGTAGGTCCCTCCATTTGTTGGAAAAACATTAAGACGGAAAACCGCAAATTGGTGGAAAAGCTCGGCCGAAATTCGCTTCGGCGGTTACAAAACGTCAATTATATAAACTTGTACCATAGCTTTCCACTAGACTGGAGGCAGCTCAGCCTTGCGAAAGGTTTTCTAAAAAAACAACTTGCAATGTTATACTACAACAAATTTATCATTGTTAACAAATAGTAATTCAAATATACAAATAATCTATGAATTTCTACTACAACAATTATTACTTCTCGTATGGGCTACTAACCGCTTTCCTCAATGGAGTATAGCTAAGTGATCGTGAGGTGAAAACTCTCGGTGCCGGTGGTGTCGATCCCAAAATTTCCTCGCCTTTTATAGCATTCTGCATGCTGGCAGAATAATAACAACTTATCATTAAGCACAGTTTCCGTTTATGTGTACGTAGATATTTGCAGGTATAAGTGAATTCTTGTTTGTACATGTTTATAAATTTCGCTATTTTGTTATTGTACGAATAAATCAACATAATTTTTTTCGAATTAAAAATTAGCCACCACCAGCCATCAAGGAATTAAAAGAAGACATAGACAACCAATAAGTCAGCTGATTCGCTTTTCCACTCTCTGATTTTTACAAATTAAAATAAAGATTTAATTGAAAATTACTTAAAAATATAAAAGCTGAATATGAAATGCTCACCAGGAATATTTAGGAAAGTAGAAATTGGTAATCACTGAAATCATTGAATTTATTTTACTGTATTTAATTTAAAAATACTTTTGGTGTTGACTTCAGGTCTGACATCGCAAAGCAAGTCACTGGTCAGACATCTATGAAGTATAATATTAAATACAGTTATTTATTTCATAAACTCACTTAATGTTTTCTTGATATTTTTGTTTTTTGTCCTTTTTAATATGTCATATGTTTTCGTGATGGATAACTTTACTAGTAAACATATTTCTATCACAAAATTTGAGACTGTCTTGCAGGGAAGTGCTAGCTTATTATTAAATGTAAACGAACTCCGCTTGACAAAAATTTTGGATAATATTATATATAGATGCCATTTAGTACTCCACCTACGGTAATGGATAATATTGTACGTGCAGTAGACGAACTTGCTTGCATGGAAGGTAGGCTAAATTTTGAATAAATAAAGATTTTTTGTCAGAAAACTTGCATTTTTTTGGGGACTTTTCAACTTCAGAATGTCACGACAGCGAAGATGCGATTATACCTGGATATTTACAGCCCACTAGCGAAATAACTATATCGTAAAAACGATCTACTGCTGCTTAAAAAGAGCAAGCGTAGTTGCGTTAAATTATTTTGAACCAATATATATTTGATCTACTATATAAAATTCTCGTGCTACAGTGCTAGACACGATAAACCTCCGAAACGGCTTGAGCAATTTTAATGAAATTTTCTGCGTATATTAAATATGTCTGAGAGTCGACTAACATCTATTTTAAGCCGGAAAGAGGATCTGGGACTGATCCATTCAAAAAACCTTTATTTTTGGTTCGAGTTTCTTTAAATTCGGTACATAGGTGTGTTTTTGCTTAGATTAAGAGGAAGACTACAATTTTATGCAGTAAGTGCACCGGAGACTGATATTAAAAGGAATATTACATTTATTTCAAGGAAGTGAAACGGAGACAGACCTATTCTTTTTTCCGGGAAGAGAACCAGATACTTAGCTATTCAAGAAAACCTAATTTATGGTTCGATATACTGGCTCTTAATAGCATTATTTATGGTTCAATTGAATTTGTTTTATATTTTATTTTCATTGCTATGGCCTGCTAGAAGTTTTCTTATCTGAAACCACTTAGTTTAATTTAAGAATTGCCTATGTTGACAAACCATCTTTGTTGTCTGTTCTTGCTTGCCTACTACTATATTGCTTTCTGCTGATCGAGTTCATTCAAATAATTGACAATCAGATTTGAAATATATGTATAACTAATAAAATATATGTGTATATTATCAGTGTTAGTGATATAATATAAAGGCATGTAATTAAGGCTAGGCGAGTTCAATTATTATGTTTTTATAAAAAATCTATGTATGTTGTAGGGATTCAAAAAACCTCGAATCTTGGGATTTTTGTAAAGCTGACAGTTTTCTATAAGGGTGTACAGCTGCTGGCGTCCACCGCTGATATTGTGGTGGCCTCAACAGCCGCGCCGAGAGATGGGCTTTTCCCAGACTTGACAAATTTTTGTTTTGTATTTTGTGCAAGAGTAGTTTTGCTGTTCATAGAAGCAAACAGACACCCCTGTACCAAATATGAAGTAAATCGAGCCATAAATAAGAATTTCTGGAATTGGTCATTCTTTGGTCCTGGGGGAGAAGAGTAGGCTTCCTGTTAATCTAAGCAGAAAACCACCAACATACCGAATGTAAACTAAATCGAACAATAAGTAAAATATTTCGAATAGGTCAGTTTCCGCTCCACTTTTTTTGCAGAACCATAAAACAATTTGACAAAAGTTTAAGTCAATCAGTCTGTAATTTTAGAAGATTTGCGAAGATTCCTGGATTTTTACAAACGGACATATTATTTTCACATATAAGAAGATTACCTTTAATGTATGTTCTTTTTTCAAACTTGCTTTCATTTGTTTGGATCACCGCGACCACTAATTGGATAAAGAGTAAGCTGGATCTTCAATAAACGAAATGTCTACTTCGATTTGCTAAAATAACAGTGTAGCAGTATAGCACTCTGGTCATATGTGCGTAGTGCTTCAATCTTTCTTAAACCGGCCTGGTATCTACAATTTTTTAAAACTTATTTTATTAGCAACTTTTGTTACATGCTCAGTACTTATGTAAAATTTTATTTGCTACATTTCTAGAGAAACATACATTTGTGTGTACAGTAACTAAGAATTGTACTCATTCGGACCTACTCACATAAAAACACATACACACAAAGCGCACAAAAGTAACCGGAGGTGCAAATGCTTACACAACAGCCACTCTAAAGAGTACGAGTACTGTACAGTGAAGAGGTAGGAAATTACTTAAAAAGCAGGTAAGTTTTAGTACCTAACAGTGTAACGGAAACAACTAAATGCCGAGTGGGTGCGGATGTTCTTGGCTTGCACAACATAAGTTATTCGAATAGAGGTGCTTCTCATTGAACATTTTTGTTGTATGCACACTGTGTTTGTACCAATGGAAGTGCTTGCAAGTTTGCTTATTGAAAAGTGTTTCCAGTATTTGTTGTAGTTGTGTAGGAAAATGTTTCTTCCGTCAAATATTTTTCTTCTTCAACAATTACTTATGTAAAATTCATGCACAACATTACCCCAGGCAATAGCGCAACGTGCCTGTGTTGCAACCAGATGTAGTTGCAAGTCGCAAGTGAGACTATAGTTACAAAATACGCATATATGTATCTACATACCTAGGTACGTACATGTGGCTTTTGTGCAACACTTTCAACTGAGTTTGACAAAAACTTTTTCTTACCTGCAACATACGTTGGTTCAACGTGTTCAACACCAAAGTGACTCAGTATGGGCAGTAAATACAGCGTACGCTGCACGCCACACAGCCAAGCATACATTCATGCGCACGCGTTACAAGTCTTAGCCAAATTGGCGTCCGATTTTTCCTTTGGCACTGAATTTATATTGATATTTCTTTTTCTTCAAACATTGTTAATATGTTTGTTGTGGGTAATACACTGATTATGTTAGTTATGTCACTAAAAGCAAAATCAAAGTACAGCTGTTGCTACTTCCCCAACTCCAACGCCTCATTCCACTCATCAACCTTTGCTGTCTTTTATATAGTGAAGTACTCGGTTTTGTTCTACTTTTAGTGTTAGCTTCTGCAAGTAGTACTTGTTCTTCTTTTTTTTGTTACTTGCCACAGCAGTTAATTTATATTGATGATTATTTTATGTCAGTTGGTCGGTCTATAGAGCGCCTGGTATGGCATCACAACTGAGCGCAACTCACTGCACCGCTAACATGGTGTTGCCAACCAGTTGCAATGTCGCGGCTGCACATATGGCGACGCTTCCAACTACTTGCTGAAAAAGTGTGTAAAATTGTGGAAAATTCTTTAGCGACTTAATACTCAATGGCATATATGTAAGTACAATGTTGCTTAGCGTATGCTCCTCCTATGAACCTGTTGTATGTACAGTTGCATTCTTATTGGCAGTTTCTAGTTAATGCAACAGGTTCATAGAAGGAGCATACGCTAAGCAACATTGAATTTTTTAAATATATGTTAAACATATCCTATATACATGAATTTCAAAAGTGGCATGTTACCCAGGTTAATAAAATCAAATTCGAATTCAAATTCTGAACACAATGTGGTCGAAAATAAGGCATTCTCAAGCAAAACGGAAGTGGAAAGCATTCGCGAATTACCAGTTATTTCCTTCAATTACAAAATTTGATCAAAAACTTTGATAACATTGATGTATATCACTATTTAATGCGAGCATTTTATTGATATTATTATGCCACCGACGTAACATAAAATGGTAGTACATGGCTGGAAAATAATACATTCCTCTATGGCTCTGGTTGGATGTTTAGGATAAAATGCTTAAAAAGCAAGAAATAAGTACCTAAAAACGATAGGAAATCACATTCCTTAAAAAATTGTCGCTTAAACATTATGGTCGATGTGTTTTTATAGAGTTATTTATTCTTCTTATCCATTGATATGAAGTATTTTTTAAAGTGAAATGCAAAAGGCATTAAAGAAAAAACCCCTGCCGGAGGAAATAAATAATTCTTTTAAAATGTCCACCTCTACCACACGATAAAACAATCACGTCAGCAAGAGAACTCTGCTGATGATTCCTATGGTTATTTACAAATTGAGTCGGTTGAGAAAGTAGGTAAAACCTATTGCATGAAAATATAATTTCAAAATAACAGTTTCACAAAATTAATTTTTCTTCTTGGGTATGGGCGAAGGGGTTGAAGGTGTGGTTTAATTGTTAAAAAAAACAATTTCTGGAATAATATTCTTATTTTTTTGTGCCGAAATTGATATGGTGCAATGTAAGCCTTGAAATCCAAGACCAGCTGCAAACAGATAAGCTGGAGCCCTATCAATCAGAAAGAAAAAGATTGGCTTCCTAATAAAATAAATATTTGGAAGGCATTACTTCAATAAAATTTGGTATCTAGATGTAGTGGATACCTTCTTACTTACAATTCGTCTACATATGAGATTTTGAGTTTAAAAAGTTCAAAAATATATTAGAAGAGTATGTAAATACAATGAGCATATTGGGTAGTATTTCAGCCATAACTTGATGAAGCCTTGTGAATGGTCAGCTCGCTTCACTTGCAGTGTAAGCTGAATTTTTTTAGCTATTATATTTTTGGCAACACTGGTTTAAGCAGCTGATGCACGTTTCGTGTTTTGTATCACTGCCAAACATCGTCAGTTTGGTCTATAATTTAATCATGAATCGTCTTATAAACGATCAACGCTTGCAAATCATTGAATTTTATTATCAAAATGCGTGCTCTGCTAACAATGCACCTAGATAAAGTCACAGTTTGATACGGTTTATGGGCTAGTGGAATCATTGGACCGTACTTCTTCAAAGATGATGCGTTTCGAAACTTAGCTGTGAATGGTGACTGCTACCGTGAGATGACACACACTTTTTTTGCCCAAAATGTAAGAGCTTGACTTGCACGATATGTGGTTTCAACAAGACAGTGCCCCATGCCACATAGACATTGTCACATGCCGCATAGACTTATTGAGAGGCGAGCCTGTTTTATTCTCATAAGTATTGCGTAAATAAAGATGTGATAAAAATATATTCCATATTTAATTTTGCATATATTCCATTTATGTGCGACAGCGTAACGTTGCAGGCTACAGCTATTAATATATAAGATTCTCATGTCTCAGTTTCTATCAAAAGGCTTGTGAATGCTCCAAGTCTAAGGTTACAAAAAACACTTATTTTTTTTCGAAGAAGTGAACCTGGGGCTGACCATATTTATAATTCAATTTACCTAAAATTTGTCACACATAGTTTAGCTTAGATTAGCGGGCACACTGCTTTTTCCGTAAAGTGTACCACGTACCAATCTATTATATCTATTTATGTATACACAATCAAAAGTGGCCACAGGCCCAGACCGGAATTATTTGATACGTTAACTCAAGCTGGAACTTGGGCGTTCGCGTGCTTATGCGGAATACGTTGTCTTGCATTTATAAGCGGTAAAACTTAGTAGCTTCATAATATGCGCTAACATGATTTTGACAATTGTTGTTTGCTTGAATTTGTCTTTCCTGTTTTTCCTTCTCCTTTCGTATTAGTCCATGAATTTTGAACGATCAGCCTACGTTGCCTGTTTGCATGTTGGCAAATTGTCTTTGATGTTTATTCTTGTGTCCACATAAATAAGCGTTTATTATTTTCAAAAATGAAGGTAATCAAAACCTCGTAGGTGTGATGGTTAGTTAAAACTTAAAACTAAAACCTACTGCATAATAAACTCTCACACACATATTTAAATACTTGTATGTATGTACATACACACTCTCTTGGTTGAAAGATGCTTACTCCAGTAAGCTATATATTATTTTTGCTATATTTTGCAGAAGTGTTGAAGGCCACTCCTAGTTTTTATGTCAGTTCAGATATTCTGCTCACTATTTTGCTTAGAACTTATTTAAAAATTTTTTTCGTAATACATGTACAATTATATTTTCATTTTTTTTACCTAGAAATGTAACGTTTTCATCTATTAGAATAAAACAAGTGAAAGGTCTTTTGTGGAGTACCGAAGACAAATTTGGGAAAGTAAACTAATCGAACATTTTTTTCTAATGCTTATTTAAACATTTATTTTTCAGTCTCTTCATCCAGTACGTGCTTAGTACTCTAGTTGAAAATTACAGAATACAATCACTTTTGATAGTCATAACTTGGAAATAGAATTACAGCATGAACACTAATAATAATGTCAGCCGTGAAATCCAGCGCAGAATTACTCTTGCCACCAGGTGTTGCTTTGAACTGAGTAAGCAATTGAAGAGTGAAGTCCTCTCTCGTCTGAAGAGCTCCAACTTGGAAACTGTGCGATGCAGCACTCCCCGATGGAAGCAAAGGAAGTGGTATTTCAAACTAGCTCCAACCAGCGAAGACATTATCCGAAGAGGGCGGCTATACTAAGACAAGCGGTGCTAACGCCAATGAAAAAGAAGGATAACTTGGACAATTCGCGCACATTACCCGATTTATGTCTTAAATAAAAAAATATTATTTAAAACATTTTTTTTATAATAATTAATTTCGTTCTTTGTAGTAATATTTAAATGAAAAATACATATTCATATTTCATACATTTCAAAAAACTCGACCACACTTCATAATATATTTTCATAAATTACTAAGTTCAACAAAAAACCAAGGAAAGTAGGAATACCGTCTCATTTCCATGATATGATGTTAAAAAAAATTAAAAAAAATAGCAATTGTGTATCCTTGCTATAATGAATGTTATGGATGTTACCTACAATACCCGAACTGTTCTATAGATACTACAAAAATAAATAGTAAATTTAGCCTCAGACGACAATAAATTACAAACAAATTTAAATGATAAATGTATGTGAAAGGGTGAAATAATATCGGATATGACGCAGAAAATGAAGAATTCAAGTAAGTGAAAATAATTCACGAAAACCACGCAATAAAGAAAGTTCTCATATGTAGTGGCATGTGATTTTGAGATATTCAAATGAGGGCGCACCATTGAGTTTATGTATTTTTTATTTACTTTTTTTTATAAATGTACAACCACACAAACAAAAATAAAATACATTGGGTTTTTTCAAACTCCATAGAATGACGAGATGAATCGATTAAGCTACCTTCCTCCGTCCGTCCGTCCATCCGGTTGACGAATATTGCAAATGGGTTAAATCACAACAAGTTTTCGCGTACCTTCCATACAACAGTTTTTTTGAAAACTACGAAATTCATAAGAGTTCAGTATCTTAATGTATAATTCAATTCATTTTTGTACTGGATGATTGCATTAAAAAGAAAAATCGGGCCTGGAAATAAATTTTGTATGGGCATTATGCCACATATTTAGTATGAAAGAAAAAGTCAATGCAGTCGTCGCTTGGCCGTGAATGTGAAGCCCTTTGAGTGTATCTCTGACATTAAAGAAAAGCTCCTCATTAAAATCCATTTATATATACGGTAGTATAAAAGGTAGGTCTCTTCAAACATCAAGAAGCATACCATGAACTGGAGGAGGAGCACGGCTTCGGCGGTTATAAATACTTTTTATATGATTTATTATCTTATATAATCGTTTCAAATTGCTGCAAGTCTGCTTTACAGCCATAACAAATATATTTGCGAACTAGTCATTCATCATCAACAACGGATTCAAATTTTGACTTTAACTACGTTTTGTAACTAAAGCATTATATACGACTTTGGTAAGGTCAGTATAATAATATGGTTCACTGATATGGTTTTTGGACTCTGTTCAAAAATAATTTTTTCTTTTTGCATTAAGATACTCTACGATAAATCTTCTTCCCTATACTAACCTTTTAAAGTTTCTAAATTTCAGCTCTCGCAAGTAGTAGAGAAATGCTAGGTGCATTGTTTGTTCTTAACGAATCAACTTGTTTTTCATGGCTCTTATCTAAGGTAAACTTTTATATTCCAGCTCGTGTATCTAAGCAGTTTAGGCCTTTACTAAAACAAATTGCGAATTGAAAGACCCTTTTACTGATTGTGTCACAATTTAAGTATTCAAAATAAATACCATAATTACTAAATTTCAGCTGTTGAATAATTATTTTTTCTCTAGCTGAACAGTTCTAAATCTTGGCGTTTAACAAACGCTTCACAATCATGACTCGGAATATTCCACACGTTATGCGGATGTCAACTCTCGTATCGGTTGGGCGGGGGGAGGGTATTCGTTGGTCTTATCATTATTGGAAAAATCAAATTTTTTAAAAGAAATTACCAGAGTCCGGTTCTTATACCCTATCCACATGCGAACTCCTTTGTGCAAACTTTCACCTTAATGCGAGCAAATACTCAATCTTTGTTTGTTTATTTCCTCAACCTCGTTTTTATTTATACAAACGTTGTTCTAGACAATTACAACCACAACCACATACATGATACCTATATGTTTTGCAAAGAAATGCAATTTGCTGAAAATGCTGGTAAACCCGTTTGTCTGTACTCTCGCACTAAAGTGACACAAAAAAAACTGCAAAAGCACACCCATCCAACAGATTGTTGGCAAGCTATATACCACAAATGGCAATGAGGGCATTGGTGAATCTTTCGAAAATATAAAGCAGGGACAAATCCATTTTTACCTTTCCAAAGATATTATATGTATTTTTTGCATGCCATTTTCAATAGACAGATCATAACCGATGCTCTGGGTTGTCCCACAATTATCATATTTCGTAATTCTTATACGATTCTATATAGAGGTTGACATATATACATAGATATGTATATGCGTATATAGTGGCAATGTGGCTCACCTTCCAAAGAGCTGTTGCAAAACAAGTATTGTCTGTGTCAAGGATATGGCAATATGTGTTTGCCCACAGACAGAATCTGCCAATTCTGCAGGCATAAAAGTTAAACCAGCATATTCGATAGGTACTGGTTTAAAAGTGTGAGTCTATACAAATGTACGAATATATCTGACATATGTGTACTTATACATATCTACATGAGAACATAAGCATAGCTATATATATACACTTATTGAAACAAAACGTATAAGCAAGTAATACATAACTTATATTCATATTGACCAGAAAGCGTGCCGTCAAAATGCCCTAGTGGCCAGTAGTACATGCTGCATGCCAGAGGCTATAAGATGCGAATCCTATCCCAAAAAATGTTTACCTACGATAGTATTTCTAATGCGAAATAAAAACGTTTTCATCCGAATCCAATAACCGTACTAAGGGGCCATAAAACTTGCGGTGTCTCTCTATTTGTAAAGAAGTCTACAACCGCAGAAAAGCTACGCCAAAAATTATTCATGAGGTTATAGAATGTCAATTATTACTTTTTCGACTTTTTTGCATACTCTTACACATTTATTTACACATACATACAGAATGGGTGATAAATTCCAGTTCGTAGAGAATTTTGCAATTCCTTCTCTCTTTATAAATTTTTTCCTACGAGTGTATGTGCATACACGTAGGAAAGTATCGTCACTGTAGTTGCATATTTGCTTTGATTTATGCACGTCGTGTGAAATTGTGTTTTCTTGATCGGTTACATATGCATGAAATTAAGTTTTATTGGTTGCTTGTGGGCACAGGCAGGTGAGTTATTGATGGCGTACACTGAGGCACCCAAACACACACAGGTATCATCATATTAATTTCAAACAAGTATATACGTACATTGATACAATTTCATAACGTAGCCTCTTGACTTCCTTGTTGAGGAAGTTCAAATTATGAAAGTTTCCCGTTCAAAGTTCATTAATGGTTAGGTATTTGGATTTGATCCTGGGTTAAGGATTATTTTTATGAGCGAATTCTGCAAGTTAATTTTGAAGTACATTGATACCAATGATTTGTTCAATATTTGTAAATTTTTTTGTAGTGTACACAGAAGGCGCATTTAAATTGGTGTTTTTGGTGGGCATTAAAAGCGTTGAGTGAGTATACATATGATTGGCGCCTCGTATACGGTGAAGTGGTTTTCGGACGAGCACCTCATCCAATTATTCTATTAGTTCATAATACCACAAAGAAGTGAGCAAATTTTAGATATAATTACGTGTTACTCAATATTTTAGAACTTATTCGAAAAAAACCGATATCTAAAATGTTTTCTTTTTTTTCTTGTAGTTAAATAAGTTCTATATTTTATTATATCCAAAACAGGATCTTATAAAAATAAATGATGAGTTTAACAAAACGAAAAACAGAAAAGTTAGCTCTTAGCTTAGATATAATATCTCATGTTTCGTGTTTTGTATCACTGTCAAACGTCTTCATATTAGTGTATAATTTAGCCATAATTCGTCTTGTAAACAAGCAACTACCTTGAGATGATATCAAACTTTTTTTTGCCCCAAATGCAAGAGCTTAGATTGTATGACATGTAGTTTCAACAAGATGGTGCCACATATCACACAGTATGCGTAACAATGGACTTATTGATATTCGAGTTCGATGAACATTTTACTTCTCGTTCGTGACCGGTCAATTGGCCGCTTAGATCGCTCTTGGACTACGCCTTGTGGAGTTACGTTAAATCTTATGTCTATACAGGCAAGCCCGCTTCAATTAACGCATTGGATGATAGCATTAAAGCATTTATTCGTGAGATACCGACCGAAATGTTGGAAAGAGTATGCCTAAATTGAACTAAGCGGATGGACCATTTGAGGCGCAAATAATAAATTATATGAACCGTACTATCGATTCAAATAAAAATTACATACATTTTTATGAATTTTATGTGTTGTTTTGTAGTAATTTTCCTATAGATCTTTAAAAAATATCTATGTAAGTGGAGATATAATTTTTTATAAATG